TAATGATGTCCCTTATAAAATGGCAAAATCACAGTTTGTTCATCAGTACATTATACCACATGAGTGCACTATTACACATATATATCATGTGTTGCACTCCAGGACAGGAAAAAGCCCTCTGATTTCAAAACACACCACACATTGAGTAAAGAAACAAATCCTTTTTTATTGAAGCTTAGTAAAATAGCCAGTAGAAAGAAATGCTTGCAAGAAAATAGGAAAGTTCCACAGCACATGAACTTGATTTCCAAACGATGCCTGATCTAACAGGTTTCCCCTTGAAGCAAACCTTATGTCCCAAAACCCAGAAACTGGCTTTGTTTTCCCTCACCCTTGGCTCTTATCTGACGAAGCCTTTCGGCGCGACGTAAACCTTGAGTTTGTTGTTGGTCCTGGCTGAACTCCAGCCGCCTATTTTTCAACTTCCTTTCTGGCTGCTCATTAAAATTTCCAGGTGTCAGATTGTTTTCCAAACCCAAATATTGAGAGCTCAAAGAGAGAGGGAGTAAACAATCATCCCTATGCCCAGCAGGAATATTCTCATGAGAAACTGCCCTTTGCATTGGGGGCTCTCTGTCATTATCTGCAAGAAAATCATTGACCAAACCATCTCCACCATCATTTCCCTCATCATTTCTCACAGCATTGCCCACATCATTTCCCACATCAGAAACACCATGATCCTGGAACACAAACACAGGCTGATTCCCAATATCACATACGTATGGAGATATATGGGAATTATTGGGAGTTTGGGACTGATTGGGATTGCAAAAGTGCATACAGTGACATATAGAATGGCAGAAATATCTATTTAATAGGTATGGTTAGGTACCGTCGGAATCTTCATAATTTGGAATAAAGTTGGAAAAATTACTTTTTTGAAGTGATTTTGAAGTTTTTTTTAGAAAACTGGAAGTCCCTTTGTCCTTCTGAAACTTCTCTCGCCATTTTTCTTCTGACTCAGGAAGTGAATCAGAAGTGATTCAGCATTTGGAGGCAAGCAGCTTGCATGCTGGGATGCTTGCCTCCCAGCCAATGAGGAGAAAAGTTTTGGGGAGGGAAGGGGCGGGGTTTTCGCATGGCAGCCATTGCGCTATACAAAGGGAAGCACATGGCTCAGGGGCTCATTATGAGCCTGAGAAGTGAAGGGGAAAGAGAAAGGGAAGGGAGGTTGGAAGAAGAGCGGTTGAAAGAGCAGGGCAAGCGGAGAAGGGCTGGGAGCAGGGCTGTTGCCTATGCCTGCCTTGCAGCCGCTTGTGTGTTGTTGCTGTTGGAGGAGGAGGGGGGAGAAGAGCAGGGCAGCAGAGAATCAGGGCAGGGAGAGGGCTTTTGCCTGCCTGGCTGGCTGCCTTGCAGCCGCTTGTTTGTTTTTGCTGTTGGGGTTTGGGATGGGTGGGTGACACATGGGTGGGTAATATTGGGGTGTGAAGGTGCAGTTTGTTTCCTCAGTTTGCCTTGTGTTACCAAATAGTCAAAATATTATCTTTCCTAAAGTTGTGAAATCAACTTTACAAAGCTAAAAAGGTCTTTCCCTGCTGTTTGTGTCCTTAGTTTCTTTGTGTTGCCACTGAGGAGACACTAGAAATCCCATATAGTTAAAGGTGCGCAATCGCGTCCGCCATTAACAAAGCAATTCAGAAATTTCGGAAAGTTCCAAAAAATTTTTTGGAAAAATTCAGAATTTAATTCTGAATTGAACCACCAGCACCCCTTATATCCAAAATGAGTTTTGAACCATTTTTGGATCAACCAAGCCTACTATTTAAATAAGGAAAATTATGTGGACAAATTATGTAGATCTTACCATAGAAAATATACAGCACCAATTGCACTCATCTCGCATTATAAGGATAAATCAAGTATGATGACTTGGAAATCTTTCCTTAATATCAGGTGCCAGACTGGTTTCTCAGCAGTCAAGAAAATGTAGTATAGGTATATATGGTCTGTAGCATATTGTTGTTTTTGTTATTGATATTATTATTTGACCTATTCCTGGGCTGTCAGTTCTAAGACTGAGCCTTTACACTTTCAGGCTCAAAGTAAGTCTTAAATAAATAGAAAATAAAAACACTTGAAATTAGAAATGTTTAGTAGCAGCATTCTGACAATCAGTGTACTTATTTCACTAGACTACCACCTAGTGGCTGACCACTGGAAAGCATTACTCATTTGTGACAAGACTAATAGGCATATAATTTATTGCTGGATTTTATTGTCTATTCTTCAATTCAAGTCCTGTAGAGCAAAACAATTAGAGCCTCTTTCTTCTAAATTGCCTTGACATATGTAAGCTGCCTGGTTTATAGAGGGACAATGCAGGCCTCCATTAAGGACGAAGAAAATCAATTTCAAGTTTTTGCTGGTATTTTGTTAATTCATTGCATACAAGGTTTAGCAGCTTTATCAAAATTTCTTCAACCACTTTGGGATTTGTTAGGCCAAAGAGAGGATTTCAAATATATTGTATTTAATTGATCAGCCACAAAAATTAAACAGTTACTTTGTTTGTTTATTATTATTATTATTATTATTATTATTATTATTATTATTATTATTAACTTTATTTGTATCCCGCTAGCATCTCCCGAAGGACTCGATGCGGCTTACACAGGCCGAAGCCTCAAAACACAATACAACAAAACATAACACAACAACAAAATAGAAGCAAATCAAAATAGTTAAGCAAATAACAACAACAGTAACAATACATCAGGACACTTTAAAACTGGGCCGGCCAGAGCAGTGGGTACAGGGTTAAAAGTGCTGAAATGGCAGGAGGAACGTAGGATTAAAATAAGTGCGGTGTGCAGCGATCTTAATTCTACTAAGGTGCTTCTAATAAGTGTTTTATTGGAAAATGTTGTTGGAGATACCTGCTTGGCCTCACAGCCATTGATCTGCAGGGTCCCGCAGGGCTCAATTTTATCCCCTATGTTGTTTAACATTTACATTAAGCCATTGGGAGAGATCATTTGGAGTTTTGGAGTTCAATGTTATCTGTATGCAGATGATGTTTGATTCCTTTCCACCAGCGTCTATGGAGGCTGTTTAGGTCCTGAACTGGTGCTTGGCTGCTGTAATAGTTTGGATGAGGGCAAACAAATTGAAATTGAATCTAGACAAGACAGAGGTACTCCTGGTCAGTCGCAAGGCCAAACAGGATATAGGGTTACAGCCTGTGCTGGATGGGAATACACTCCCCCTGAAGATGCAGGTTCGCAGCTTGGGAGTTCTCCTGGATTCATCGCCTGGAACCCCAGGTCTTGGTGGTGGCCAGGGGAGCTTTAGCACAATGAAAACTTGAGCGCCAGTTGTGCTCATACCTTGGGAAGCCAGACTTGGCCATGGTGGTTCATGCTCTTGTTACATCCCGTATAGATTACTGCGATGTGCTCTATGTGGGGTTGCTTTTGAAGACTGGTCCAGCATGTGGCAGCCGGGTTTCTAACAGGAGCACCATTCAGGGAGCATACAATTCCATGCCAGCTCCATGGGCTACCAGTCTGCTACTGAGAACAATGCAAAGTGTTGGCTTTGACCTATAAAGTCCTAAATGGTTCCAGCCCAGCTTACCTGTCCGAACATATCTCCCTCTACAATCCACCACAGAGTTTAAGATCTTACTTAACAGAGGTTAAGATCTTAATACACCACAGAGGTTAAGATCCTACTTTTGATCCTGCTTTCTTCACAGGAGCGTTTGATAGGGATGAGAGACAGAGATTTCTCAATGGTGGCCCCTCAGCTATGGAACTTCCTCCCCAGTGAAATTAGAACAGCCCCCTCCCTCCTGACCTTCAGGAAGAAAGTTAAAACCTGGTTATGGGACCAAGCTTTCGGCTAACAAGCTAGTGCAATATGAGTATACGAAATTGTGAAATGACTAATGGAATGGCCTTAAATTTGACTCTGGATAACGTGATTTTAATAAGTGTTTTAATGCTGCTGTTGTTTTTTGAGTTTTAATGCATATGTTTATTCTTATTGTATTTATGTATATTTATGGCATCAAACTGCTGCCTTTTGTGAGCTGCTCTGAGTACCCCTGTTGGGGTGAGAAGGGTGGGATATAAATGTAGTAAGTAAGTAAATAAATAAATGTTTAGTAATAAAAATATTAATAACATTAGCTGTTGGTACATCAGTGATAATGGTTACACTAAAATTAAATGTTTCACAGGTAACTTTGCTATTCATAACTTGATACTCCTAAGCTTTGAACAAAATAAAATAGAATTTGGGCACAGCTAGGAATGGCTGTAACAGATGCCTTACTGTAATTTTGGCTTAGGTAGTGGATTATTGTGGTGCTGGAATTCTTATTAATATCTGAGGAAAGCTAGACAGTTTTGCATCCAGGGCAAAGACCTTCATACTTGAAGTACTTCATTTAGTTTTCAGCTCAAATTAATTAAATATCACCCAAAATTATATTTCTGACACAGTCTTGGTTGTCAATCATTCGCTGACCTTCAGAACCTTGAATATATCCACATGTGCACTAGGAATGGTGTTAACTTGATTGTTTTATCTATTAGAAAACTGGGCTTGTTCTGTCATGTTCTTCAGGAATGTCAATCAATCTGATTCAGGCCACTGGGTGATACTTGCATTTAACTGTAATACAGAAAAGTAGCTAAAAAGTTTTGCACTCAGGTGGCGTATCACAATGGTTATTTCTATGAAATTTATATTACCGATCCAAATAATGGTGCAGCTAGTTTTTATTCCTTTTGCTGCCCAGCAATTCATTCAGCAAAAGAAATTGTTCAAAGGGAGAAAAATGTCCATAATCTCATTAGTTTAATAAGGCCTCTTGCATGAACATGGAATCTAACTAAAGGGCACAGCAGATGATTAGTGGTCACTTAGTTTTTGCATCATTTTCTTCTTTTTTTTCACCATTTGAACATACCCTGGAACTTGCAGCTCTATAGTATATCTCTTAATAATTTTTACCAAGTGACCCTTTTCCATCTCTTTTTCTCCTGCAGTTCAATGAAAACGCTCAGAATGTCAGTTGTTTCAACCACCTTGTACAAGCGAATGTAAGAAACAAGAAGAAGTTAAAAGAAGCTGTTTATAAAATCCAGGCAAAAGGAATAACTGATTACAAAAAAGGCTTTAGTTATGCATTTGAACAGCTGCTAAATGTAAGTATTGGAAAGCCAAATCATCTGAGTAGTTCTCCTGGTGGTTCTATAGTGATGTATCTTTTTGAGGTGCAAATATATTTATCTTACTAAACAAGGACTCATCTATCCAGTGGTATTTACAGTTTACTCCAGTAGATTATTCACATCTATATGCAACTCAGTTTGCAGGAATGCTTTTGTTACCATACTGAATTTGTTTGTGGTTTTATCCGCTAGATTGTAATTGGCAACAAGACAAGGTCTGGAACACACACATGTGCTAGACTTGGGTAACCACGGAAAAAATTGGTTCTAAACTCGTTTTGTTTTTAGGGGGTCCTTGCGTTTCGTTTTTTTTAATAATTCCGAAATTTTCCTTTTAAAAATTTCAAAATATACGAAATTTTGTAAAATTACGAATCGATTCGTTAATGGCGGACGCGATTGCGCAATATGCTAAAAAAACCTCCAAATGGGACAGGGGGAACTTCTGAAGCTTGCCTCTCCCTCTGTTGTTGACTGTTGGTGTGATAAAACAAACAACAACTATAAAACTTGCACCAGACATGCGAAAATAACTACAAAATAATTACAAAATAATTACGAAATAATTATGAAATAATTACGAAATAAATTGAAAAAATTGTTTCGAATCTAATTTACTCCACACACTATTCCTGCATGGCTCAATATTGGATCGTAAGCTAATTTAAATACGAATTAATAACGAATTACGAAATTAACGAACGAAACTGCCCAAGCCTAACATGTGCCCTTCACTGCACCTTAAGGGTTGCAGTCCTATCTCTTTTTTTTAAATTTTGGGGGTTCCCTCCTTAAAATGGTCCCCAGCATAATTTTGGGAGTGGGGGGAGGGATTTGACTAACATAAAAAAAGAAGCTGCCAGAAGTCACCTCCCAGTTGAAATGAAAAAGCCTTATTGGGCTTGAAACATTCCATGGATCACAAAATATGCCATTTTTAAAATTATTTATTTATTTATGGCATTTGTAGCCTGCCTTTCTCAGCCTTGTGGCAACTCAAGGTGGCTCACAGAAATAGCAATTTTAGTGCTATACATTCATAAACATTTAAAAACATCAACTCAACATTTAAAAAGCATATATAAACCATTTAAAAACATATAATCACTGATGTTGTCCTGTTAAAATCATTATCCATTTTCCTTTTTTTCTGCTAGAAGACACAGGATTTAAAGTGGGTTTTAAAATCTGGTGGGGGACCTTGGGAACCCATGCAGCCTATAGGCTGCATTTTCCCTAGTCTTACTTCTGAACAGGGATGAAGAATCGCTTTCAGTTTAAGGGCCAAGTTCAGTTTAAAAGGAGTCTTCATGGGATTCATTTTAGTGGTTGGCAGCAACAAAAAACAGAAGGGTGACCAAAAATGCCCAAAGATTTTATCTACAAGCTGTCAGTAACGAAGCCTTAGGGGTTTAACTTAATAGAAAGTGAAAAAAAAGTTGAGAAGCTTGGAAGCCACCTTAAAAATTATGTGATGGGAGGGACAATCAGCTCTATCACTAGTGTGTCCAGAGCTGCAATCAAATCTGCTCTTCTTTTTCTTTAAACATGAAATTATTTATTTCCAGAAACATTGAGTATGACAGAAAGTGATAGGTCAAATGCCAACTGTTGAAATCCATGATTGAACAGAGACTTGAATATGGATCTGCTGCATTCATATCCAACATTGGCATGTTTTACATGTCATCAATGTCTTCCTTCTCAGGATGCATCTACACTATAAAATTAATGCATTTTGAGACCACTTTAACTGCACTCAATCCTATGGGATCATGGGAATTGTAGTCTTATATTATCTTTAGCCTCCTCTGTTAAATAGTGCAGTTGTCTCAGCAAACTACAACTTCTAGGGTTGGATAGCATTGAGCCATGACAGTTAAAGTTGTATCAAACTGTATTCATTCTACAGTGTAGTATTCTCTCAGTTACACAGTTTCTTCTAGGAGCCCCCAGTTGCTCAATGGGTTAAACCCTTGTGCCAACAGGACTGCTTGACTGAAGGGCTGGTGGTTCGAATCCAGGGAGCGGGGTGATTTTTCATCTCTCAGCTCCAGCTTCTCATTCAGGGACATGAGAGAAGCCTCCCACAGGATGTTAAAACATCTGGGCGTCCCCTGGGCAACATCCTTGCAGATGGCCAATTCTCTCACACCAGAAGAGGCTAGCAGTTTCTGTTAGCAGTCAGACTCTCCAGTCTCGGCACAGCAAGCGTGTGGTTTCAAAATAAACAAACTCAGGCAGCATTCTTCTTCTAAGGTAGCTTTACTTAAAATGTCTATATACAAAGGACTACATGATGGAACTAAAGATGGCGACGAACAAAGCATGGCAAGAAGACACAGCAAACAAGAGATCCGCCCTTCTGTCTTATCTATGTTCTTGACTGGTACACTCCTTAATTTCTCTCAGGGCAAAGGAATTTCGTGTTATCACAGTTTCACTGTCTGGCCTGTAACTTTGTAACAATAACATATGTGAGCTGAACAGTAAATGAACATGACTGAATCCATCTTTAAGAAGCAAAACTAATACATTATAATACTAATGCAAACACATTGAAAAACATACATACATATGAAATAACTATTCTGACAGTTTCTCAAGTCACTCCTGACATGAAAAAAAAAACCCTGTTTCTTCTGAAGCACATAAAAATTATGAATTATAGAAATATCCTGAAGCCCAGACTGCAGCTTTGTGATGTTTATATGCCATGTCTAGGGATGTAAACATATCACTGTTTCATGAGGATGAATAATTACAGCAGCTATTCCCTGTTATAGAGAAAATAAATATTCTGTGCATTTCTCATCTTGCATTCACACACCTCTTAGTGTCTTGAGAAATTATTTTGCACAGAAAAACACATGAGGTTTTTGCATGAAAAATGCTGGATTTTGTGAGAAGAAAACACTGTTTCTAAAACTGTACAGAAAATGGCAAACGTGGTTATCTGAAATTAAGGTGTTTTGTTTAAAGAACTCCAGTGTATTTCTCCATAGAAGAATTTCCTGAAACACTTTTGGATGTGTAACAATTTGACAAAACTGCACAGAATTGTTTATTTATCTATTTGAAAAAATATATAAAAATATACATTACAAAAGTTAAACAACCCATTAAAACATAAATATTTAAAACAGCAAACACAATTAAAACCAAGATAAAAATGCAGAACTTCCACTTCTGCTTGTTTGGCTTCATTAAGCACTTTCTCAAAAAGGAACATTTTCATACCCTTCCAAAATGTCATTAAAGAAGGGGCTGATCTTAATGCTACTTATTGCTACTCTGTTATTCCTCCTGACCAGGTTTTCAGAGTGTCAAGAAACATTTTTCTGCTAATAAATGAATCATGACAAAATTATTTCCATCCTTAATATTGACACAGACTGTTGCTGCTTATGTAAGCTACAGCTGCCCTTGAAAAGCTGACTCATTACTTATTGAGTCCAATGTTTAGTAGTCACTGGATGGTTTTTGCTACATGGGATATTTCACAGGTACTTTATCCGATGCATAGAGTTCTCTTCCATTCTGTATCCATTGACAGAAATAGACCCATCAGAGAGAAAAATCTTAGCATCTAAAAGAAGGTAATTCCACCACATTCCCACACACCTCTTTCTTTCATGTTTTTGTTGTAGGCTGAGGCAACATTGGTTGCTATAATAACAGCTCTACAACTATAACAATTGTGTGTCAGAGGAAGATCAGAACAAATATTTTAGCCTATTTAGAAGTCATTCACAGTTCCCTGAAATTACCCTAGTTCAATTACATGGGATGCCACCATTGTGAGAGGTCTGAATGTCAACAACCTCAGGGCAGTCATTTTCTGTTCTGAGTGCTGTGTAACATTACTGATAGACATTTGGAGAGTTAAAAAATAATGAGGAGACAGGAAAGGGCTGTGCAAATGTGATGGGTACAGCCCCAGGATGTATTTGTTATAATAGCAAAATACAATTGCTTTATAGAAACAAGCCAAGAATGATGGGGTAAAGAGTAGATGTCATTAAAAGAAATGTTTCTATATGTACTTAAGTGTAAATACTAGTATGTAAGTATAAACAAGTGATATTACAATTTAGTCAGAGGTATAGACAACATTAAAAGATTATTGAAGGTGATATCCTGCTATGTTGATTCATCAACTGTAGTGGAGATGGTTCATGTATATGCCTTCAGGTCATCTGTTGACTTATGGCAACCACAATAATTTCATAAGGTTAATTAAGTCAAGAATATGCAGAGGTGGTTTTGACAGTTTCTTCCTCTGAAATATAGGCTACAGCAACTGAGAATCATTGGCCATCTCCCATCCAAGTATTAACCATAGGTCACTGTGCTTAGCTTTCAAGATCAGACAGGATCTGGTGACATAAGAATATTAGGCAAGTGTAACTAGGACTGCAGGGTACATGATTATCATCATCATATTTTTTTTATCATCATATTTAATTACTTATTAATCGCCCTCCATCCAAAAATGCTCTAGGCGATTTACAGCTAAATTGTAAAAGATAAAATACATACATACAGAAATTAAAAATTAACAGAGATCGAATACTCTAGTAAAAAGCCAGGTCTTAAGTGCTAGAGTAAAAGGTCCTAAGTCACACATGGCTCTCATATAGGGTGGCAAGGAATTCCATAAGGCAGGGGCAGAAATAGAAAAAGTCCTGTGTCTGGTACTTTCCAAGTGCACTTCTCTATAAGATGATGGGAGAAGGAGAGGCGGTCCCTAAGGTATGATGGACCCTGGCCGTAAAGAATTTTAAAGGTCAGAACTAACATCTTATACAGGCCACAGTACTCAGTTGGAAGCCAATGTAAATGTTTCAGCACTGGTGTTATGTGGCATTTCATGGGCGTTCTTGTGAGTAACCTGGCTGCCCCATTCTGAACAATATGGAGCTTTCAGATCGTAGACTTAGGAAGGCCCACATACAGGGCATTGCAATAGTCCAGCCTAGACGTGACTGTGGCATGGATGACAGTTGCCAGAGCCTCGTCAGATAGGTAGGGTGCCAGTTGCCTTGCTTGTCGTATATGGAAAAAGGCCTGTTTGCTGGCAGCAGCGACCTAAGCTTCCATTGTCAGCTGCGAATCCAGGACGACACCTAAGCTCTTAACAGTGGTCAATGGAGATAGAGCGGCACCATCGAAGGTGGGTAACGGATGAGTTAGACCTGCCAGGCGGCCATGCCAGGGAATCTCAGTCTTCATCGGGTTCACCTTCAGTCTGCTAGCACGTAGCCAGTTCGACAGAGCCTCCAGACATTGGGTGAAATTGTCTGGAATTGATGTTGCTCCAGGCACAGAAGGAGTTGGGTATCGTCCGCATATTGGTAGCAGTCCAAGCCGAAACTCCGAGCCTAACTAGCAAGGGGTCTAACGTAGATGTTGAAGAGAAGAAGAGAGAGAATTGCACCTTGGGGGATCTATCAGAGACTTGATCCATGTACTTCACGCGTTCCGGAGAAATGAGTTGAACCAATTAAGGGCCTGACCGTGAACTCTGGCCATGGCAAGACAGTGAATCATTAGATCATAGTCGATGGTGTCAAACGCTGCGGTAAGGTCGAGAAGTAACAATAGATTGGATCCACCGTTGTCAGACTGGCGACAGAGTTAATCCGTAATGGCAACCAGGACTGTCTCTGTCCCATGACCCCGGCAAAAACCTGACTGGAAAGGGTCCAGGCTACTGTCAAATGAAAAAAAAAAGTATAGATAGCAGAGCTAGCATGGTCAATACAATACAACCCAGCATGGTCAATACAATACAATACAATACAAAATTTATTTATTTATTTATTTATTTACTTACTTACTTACTTACTTACTGTATTTGTATACTGCTCTTCTCAGCCCTCAGGGCGACTTAGAGCGGTTAACAAAGCAAATACAATACTTAAACATGATAAAAACTGTATTATGGTCATTGACCAGCACAAAGCGGGGCATAAGCGCCCTGGCCCAGCATGGTCAGTAGTCATGGGGGAATTATGTGAGTTCAAGTCAATAAGTAACTTTCCCCATCACTACGGGCAGCATGGACTTCTCAATATGTGCTATAGTGTGCCTTTCCAGAATAAGGAAACTCCTAGCATTATGTCCCAACGCACTTTATCAGAGATCCAGGGTATCTGTATGCCCACCCCCTCCAAACACCCCACCTTGTCATGCCTAGCACTTTTAATTTTAATTATTACATTTGACCCAGCCATTGTTTTTAATTGCGTCATTGGGTGTTGTTAATGTTATTGCTTTGTTATTTTTTAGTTATTGTGTTGTTGTTGCTGCTGTTTTTATTGTTGTATTTGGGCTCGGCCTCTTGTAAGCCGCACTGAGTCCTTCGGGAGATGCTAGCGGGGTACAAATAAAGGATTATTATTATTATTATTATTATTATTATTATTATTATTATTAAGACAACAAAGTTCACTGAGTAGTTTTAAGGTTGTTTATCGTGTTTAACAAGGTTCAGGCTCATTCCACACAGCTGAATAAAATCCCACATTTTCTGCTTTTACTGGAATATATGGCAGTGTAGACTCAGACAACTCAGTTCAAAGAAGCTATTGTGGATTATATGGCTGTGTGGAAGGGCCCAAAGACAAATGGCAACTTCTGCATGTACATTTTTCATCAAGCAATACAATACTGCCCTTTCAATTCTCTTAGATGCCAAATGGTTTTCAAATGTCCTAAATATCTTGTAATAAACATAAATGCAAAGCACTATAGGTTCTATTTATTTTAGTCATCCTTATACATTAAAGAAGAGTTATTTTCTTCACATCTAGAAGGAAATTGCTTTCTAAATATACTAGGGAATGAAATAAGTATTTTTAATAAGTCATTTAAATAGAATTGGTAAGTTTAAAGGGGATAAAGTTGTTTGTGAGTCATTTTGCTACCTATTATCCCCCCATGTGCTGATAAAAACCACAATTGGAATAATAACCTTTTGCTGTAGCAGCTCAATTTAATTTTAGTAGTCATTGCTGGAGGAGGAAGCTGCCTCCAAGTCACCTTTAAGCCTACTGTGCTTTCAAATCAATTTCAGATTGCCTTGTTATGAATTCCCTTACTCTTTTGCTTTACAAGGTTCTTTAACAAGGTTTTGATTTTACTGGTAGAAAGTCTTCATGCATCCATGTAATAGATATGTTTCAGGATTTAACTTGAAATTTCAGTGTTTTAGCTTCTTTCTCAGAAGGAAGTTGTGGAAAAACCAAGATTTCAGATGAAGGGCTGCTTTCTTCTTTCAGTGTTCACTTTATCTCCCTCTGAAGCATCTAAGCAATTGGGTAAAACCAGGTTCAAGCTATTGGATGCATTGACTGCCATATTCTAGGTTCTGCTACTGTAGGCATCACTTCCAATACCCAATATTTAGATGCCATTTTCAGTACCTCAGGAGGTCGTATAAGTGGCAACCCTTGCCTACTGGAAGGAGTAAGCAGCTTCTGCATGGTAACATTTCCATCCCATGTTTGACTCAGTGCAATCACTTCTACTTTATCTATGAGATAGTATTTTCCTGGCTGCCCTCGGTAACTAGTACAAAAGCCATTGATCATGAATACATGAGATATGTATAAACTTTCTGAAATACTTTAGAAATCTAGGACTGAGGTGCAGAAAACTTAACTGGAAAGGAGCATCCAAAAATCTCTTAATGAGCACAAACTATTTAAAAAGAAATATGAATTAGCATTTTAAGTATGAACCTAAACTCAACCCTTTGGCTTGTGTGCTCTTATCTTCCACTTTTAGTCTGACCACAAGGAAAGCCTTGGATGTTTTTGTTGCAATTTCTGTTTAACTTCAGTTCACCATGCCATTTGACTCCAGACAAACTTCCATTAGTGATACATGTGGTGTGAGGAAACGAGCCATTACAAACCATAACACAACCCAACATTTTTTTAGTGTCTTGATTTTTAAACCTATTTCTTGTCAATGTGTATTTTTCATGTATGATGTATGTTTAAATGCAATTTCATGTAGTAGAAATGTGGCTGCAATAAGATTGTATTGCCAGGATGTATGTTTACATAGAAGGCTGTGAGAATGTGACCTCTGAGTGTCTAGCTGTGAAAAAAATTAGGGAGTGTCTTGATATCTGCTAGCCAGCTGCAGTTTTTGTTTTCGTTTCCAACTTCCTTTGTTCTGGTTACTTCACGTCTGCTCGCTTATGGTGTTGGTTGTGTTTGGAACTGCTTAAGTAAAACTGAACCTGCTTTTTACCGGATGTCTCCAGAGTCCATTATTCTGAGTTTTTACAATACTTCTGCTGACGCTAACATTTCTGTGGTTATTTGGGGCACATATTCAGAAAATTGCATTGGATGGACTGTATCTGCTCTAGTTTTTTTTAACCTATGGTTATGATGATGCAAGCAATTGGAATGAGCAAGCAATTGGAAACTGGTAGATGGCATGTGTTCTTATATCTCAGAAACTAGAGCTGATAAGGGAAAGGTAGTGCCATTTTTGGAATCAAAAGATCAAATACAGGGCTAACATTGGGGGCACTGAAATGTGTGCTGGCCTATGTGATTTATCAAATGTACTAACCATGACTAGGAATAATCAGAGTTTAGAATTTAGGCAACATGATGAGTTGCATGAAATCTAAAATGGAACAAGATATTTCCAATCTCCTCCTTATGGCTGCAGAAACCTAGACAAAAATTAAGTTCAACCATAGTTTGTTATATGAACATAAACATTAATTTAATATTGGGTTGTTGTAGAGACCTCACAACCTCTGAGGATGCTTGCCATGGATGCAGGCAAAATGTCAGGAGAGAATGCCTCTAGAACATGGCCATATAGCTAGAAAAAATCTACAACTTAGTGGTTCCAGCCATGAAAGCCTTCGCCAATACATTAATCTAATATGGCATTGCTGCAGAACAAGTGTAAATTGTGGACCATCAGGAGCAGTAGTTCCAACAATAAAGTCCAGTTAGTGCCCAGTTAGTTATTTGTTTTTACATTTGTGTCACATGACCAACAATTGCTTTGAAGATAATACTAGGTACAACTCTTCAGTCTAGAGTCATGTTCATCCAAATGGTTATTTTGAAGAAGCTCATTGCACAGAGTGTTTTGTGCTGTTTATATGCTTACGGCACTTGTGTGTTGAATTTGCATCAAAGCAAAGTTACAACATCTTTACATTATTTATTAAGTATTTTCTTACCTTCATTTTTTTAATACCAGAACTCCAAAGCAGTGCAGATACATTATTTCAGCATGAATGTTTTATTTGAAAATCAAAATCATAGCATTACTTTTACTAATATAATAGTTTAAAGTTTCTTTATTTACCTTTAATTGTTAAAAATGCATAGACAATTGAAGAATGACTTGATCAAGAGTTCTGTTAACATAGTAGCAAAATTTAAAACTTTTAAATTTAACATATTGAAAAACACACTTACTAGTTTTACATTGGGAACATTCACGGTAAGCTAGCAAAGTTTATGAACAGCATGTTAGAAAAAAAGAAAAAGGTTTTTGAAAGCTATGCCGCCCTGTTGCATACATTGAACCATAAAGTGCAATAACTGAGGCATATCTTTTCCAGCACAATCACAGTGTCTTCAGAGCCAACTGCAACAAGATTATAATGTTATTCACTGATGGTGGAGAAGAAAAAGCACAAGAGATCTTCGATAAATACAACGTGGAAAAAAAAGTAAGATTAATTTATATAAACATTTTACTAACTGGTTTCCTTTTTATTGCCATAATTACAAATTTGTGTCTGTATATGGAACCAAAGTAAAGAAAATGCAGATTTTATGTCAGTTTCAAAAGCTCTACAAACCCCTCTAGGGCAGTTCTACATAACCCATTAAAGCGGGCCAAAACCAGAATCTGAAATGGGACAAGCAATTGTATTCATACCTTCTTCCAGTTAGAGACTCTAAGAACTAGGAGTTGGAAAGATCTGTGTCTACATGAGATCTTGAAGACCTGCCATTTCCAGTCACTGTGAACAGTAAATGGGTTCATGTTTGCTATAGTAAAACTTTGCCCATTCATTCATGCTTAGAGTGAGTGATCAATTGAAACTTTTATCAATGATTTAAATTTACTTTTTCCATTTGTGTGAGGTTTTGTTTTGTGTGTTTTTTCTTCTTACAATGCAGACAACATTGCTGTTTGTAACTTTACGCTATCCTAAATAACTCCTGAAGAAAGGTTTGTTTGTGGAATGCACCCAGCATTGTGCATACAAACATTCACACTCATTCAAGGGTGAAAAGTCTTGTCAGTGTGGTATCTCAGCACATCAAGATCTTCCTTCTGATCAAATATGAGAACACTTTCAAATAATCTTTACAACCCTCCACACTATCTAAGCCCTGCGGATAGGATACAAACACTCTTATTTATCCCTATCTTTGTTTCTAGACATGGGAACTGGGTCTGACTAAATAATAATAATAATAATAATAATAATAATAATAATAATAATAATAATAATGCAAAGACTTTGGCACAAGCCAGTAAAGGTGGTCCCAGTGGTGATTGGCACATTGGGTGCAGTGCCTAAAGATCTTGGCCTGCACTTAAACACAATTGGCGGTGACAAAATCTGTCAGCTGCAAAAGGCCACCCTACTCGGATCTGCACACATTATTCGCTGATACATCACACAGTCCTAGACATTGGGAAGTGTCCAACATGTGATCCAATACAACAGCAAGCAGAGTGTTCTTGTTTGCTGTGTACTAATCTTGTTGTGTTTCAAATAATAATAATACACTTTATTATTATATCCCACCACCATCTCACCAAAAGGACTCAGGGCAGCTCACAAAAGTACTCATAAGTGCAACACACAAAAAATACAGAAATACATAAGCATATAAAACAATTACAATACAAGTTTACACAACAATTTTTACATAAAACGTCATATAAACTCTTATTGATTTAAAATTTCATAAAATGCAGCAGAAGCTGCAGGTATAAAATAAGCTATATTCAAGTATCAGTCCCATAAGTGCCGGAGCAAAGGAAATCACTATATAATTTTTCTCAGTTCTTTGTCTCTCGTTGAGTTTGTTTTTTCCTCCTTGGATAGCAAATACTGCAGCATGTCCCAAACTGCTCGTCCTCCTATTTCCAGGTTTCAGCACCAAAGTGAAGGGGCATGTACTGCTCATTCTCAGGAGTCCCCTTCTGACCTAGGAGGATGAAGCAGAAGAAACACACCAACGAGTTGAATCTCTTTGAAGATTAGCATTTATTTTCTGGCCATGCAAATGGCAGTAGATTGTGCACTAGACATAAAAGAACTACTGCACCCCCACAATAGGGCCATGGGGTTTTACTGTTTTACAGAAATCCAAAAGGCACATTTTGTTTGGTGTTAACATGTTGTCTTCTTCATTGGTCTATGCTTACCTAAAACATTTTGATTGGTTGTCTATGACTAGACAAACAATCAGGAATATATTGGACTTTTTCATTTCTCCTTCTGATGTCTTTAGCTCTTGCTGAGATGTGCCCTAGCAGCACCAACTTATCTCTTTGTTGCAAGTGAGAGTGCAAGACTGTTGTTTGTTTAGGGAGTTTAAGTGTGGGAATCATTCCCCTAGTTATAGTAGCTGCCTTCTGTAACTACACCTTTGGCTGCATATGCTTTACAGATGGAACCTACAGTCACATATAGCATTTACAAAATCTTATACATCCATGACTCCTTCAGATCCATGGCAACAGAGGGCAATGCCACCTTGCCCTATGCTACCCAAGGTCGAAACATTCCAAATTCTGCCATAGAATTCAAAATATCCCTGATTTAGGGACAGTGAGGACAGTTGGGCTGGTTCCCAACTAGAACTGGCTACAAGTGTTCTGAATACTATCCTTTTAATGTAAGCCGCTTTGAGTCCCCTTGTGGAGAGAAAAAGCAGGGTATAAATAAACAGCAGCAGCAACAACAATAATTTCTGATCCCAGATTATATGCTTTGAACTGGCTTATACTGCAATGTAGATTCATATAATCCAGTTCATAGCAGATAATCTAGGATAAGATACTAGATTATATGACAGTGTAGATCCAGCCTAAGATAAGCAAAATTGGGGATACTCTGAGAACCCATAATGTGCATATGGATGCCTAGGTGTAAACCACATTACATGGCAAAGCGATTAAGGGTCAGGTGCTCTGGTTTTTATTTATTTTGTATCAAAAGCATTGCATAAATTAGTATAAAACTGATAAAAATAGAAGGTGTGCAGGTGGCTAAATATATTTTGACCAAAATGGGCAACAACAACTGCATTGCCTGTAGCCTCCAATAATTCCTCCTCTGTACATGAGGCAGGACACAGTGGATAAGCATACAGATGTAGAGTTATCTGTTCTGCTCCACAGTCACACAAGGTATGGGATTCTTTTAGGTAGTGCCATTTTGTCAGGTTGTCTTTTGATATGCCCACTCTGCTTCTGAGTCTATTCAGGGACTTCCAAGTTGCCATTCTTGGTTTGCCCCTAGAGGAAGACCCGCACCAGGGGGGGGGGGCATCCAATTGGGATTTCCTGGTTTAGATGCCCAGAGTGATACTCTTGCTGTTGCTGGAGGGACGCCAAGAGGAGTGGTAGTTCTCATAAAGCTTTTCCTTGATTTGAGTCTACTGGGAGGAGGCTGGTAGCCATGTAGTGGATGGCTTTCACAGTGTTCTCTCACATTTAGCAGCAACTTCCCATTGCACATCGGGGGGGGGGGGCAATGCCAGCTAGCTTGTAGTTTATCAACAGGTGTAGGTTTAAGACAGGTGTAGGTTTATCAACAGGTGTAGGTTTGTGATTGTTCTGCATGCTTCATTCAATGCTATGTTCACCTGCTTTGCATGGGCAGATCTATGCCAAATGGGCAGGCATACTTGGCAGTTGAGTAAGACAAGGGCAGGGCTGATGTTCTTATTAATTTTGGGTCTGCACCCCATGTGCTGCCGGTAAGTTTTCGCAGGATGTTATTGCGTGCAGCTACTTTGTGCTTTTGTGTTCAAGCAGTGTTTCCTATATGCTAGTGTTTGATCTAATGTGACACCAAGATATTTAGGATGGAAACAACGTTCAAGTTCTTGACCTTCCCAGGTGACTTTCAGTTTCCTGTTGGCTTCACAGCTGCATAGATGGAAAACACACACTTGTTTGTTGGCAGGGTTAGGCTTCAGGTGGTTATCTTTGCAGAAGCTGGAGAGATCTTTCAATGCATTAGTAAGTTGGATTTCAACTGTTTCAAACTCTTTTGCTTGTGTTGTTAGGCCAAGGTCATCAGCATATATAAAGCTCTTTGTGAGTGGTGGTTGTGGCTGATCGTTAGTAAAGATATTAAACAAGGTCGGTGCAAGAACGTAGCCTTGGGGTAAGCCATTCTTTTGCCTCCTCAATCTACTTTTCCTGCCTTGAAACTCCACATAGGAGCTACAGTTTTCTAGGAGAGTCTGGATAGTTTTTGTGAAATAGTCTCGGGTAATGAGTTAGACTTTCTGCAGCATTTTCCTATGTTGCACCGTATCATAGGCTGCTGTAAGGTCAACAAAAACTATTCCAGTAATGCAACCTTTCTCATATCCTTGGTGTACTCAGTCAGATTAAGAATTTGAGGTGCTCTGGTGATCTGCAGGATATATTTACTACCCAAGAAGAAAGGAAGAATAGATACAAATATCATGTTGTTGAAGTTGAGCAAAAACCACTGGTGGGACGTAGTAAGGAGTGCCCTCCCCATCTTTTTCCTGGAGCTGAGGGCAATGCATAACTCTGGGAGTCTTTCTGTATCCTCTCAGCTATCCAGAGGCCACTATTTTTACCCCCAGATGCTTCCAGAGAGCATACAATCATTTTCACTATGTTTTCAGTCCCCTGGCCCTTTTGGACTCTATTTCTAAAAAAACAAATCAAGAAACTGACTATTTGAAAAAGCTTCTCCATGTAACGTAAAATATGGCAAAGATTGGTCAGGGAGAACATTAGGGGCACATTTTTAAATTTTGTTTTGTTTGTTTATGAACTATGATGGATTCAGCCATCTAAGGTCATCTGGGAAGCTAAGTCACCCCCGTTGCCCCCTTTCTACATGCTGATTGGTAAGTAGTTGCCTTTCCCCTTCCCCTTTGTCTGGAGCATAACAACAACAACAACTACTACTACTACTTTATTCTTATATCCCACCACCATCTCCCCGAAGGGACTCAGGGCAGCTTACAGTACCTAAAAAAACATTAAAATGAAGCACAATATAAAATACAATAAAATAAAACCAATCACATATAAAAACATCAACTCAGGCTCAGTAGAACTGGTGGTGTGGACAGCTGTCAAAAGCTGTCAATAAAACTGGTGGTCACAGACAGCAATCATAATGACATCACAGGTCACTGGTTCTTAAGAAGGCAACTGGCTTGAAGAATGTCAGACAAGCCACTGAAAACCTGTGCATTGTAATTGAAATTAAAATTCATGCAATTTGTCCATTACTTTTTGGAAACACATTTACTTGTAAGAATAATTGCCTAGCCTGGCTGCTTCTCATGCATACATTTATTTAATTAATGGCTTGTTGTGCATGTAATGTCATAGCATCTGGTGGATGACATAGATTGATTAAGCTTTCCTCTTTATAGAGTCCTATTAGCTGAAATAGTCCCAGTAGAGAGGATTGGGAATACC